TGCGGGTAACTCGGACGCGTAATTTTTGGTAGTGGGGACTGCGTACGCGCCGTCCCCCACCTATTATAACACAGAATATACGTTTAATAATCAGTTATAGTCAACGGAGGGCTCGGCGAGTATATACAATAATATACATTAACCCACAACACAGACACAGACCACCAAGTTTCTTTTTCAAGTTTGCTAGGGTTCGTGTTAGCAACGTCATCAGATTTGAGCCCCGTGAGCTCACCTACTAGTTAAGGCTATCTCAAGGCTCTCAGCTTAGGTAGGAAAAAAAATACTATTAATAATTATCCTAACCGAAATCCATCGCCTATTGATACCAGCTTTTGTAGTGCTCCAATCACTCCACTATGCGAATGGTGGGTGCATGATGATTGTATGGGGGGGGAGCTGTCATTTTTCTACGCTTACTCGTGTTTTATTGTCCGTTGACAGATACCAAATTAATCCTCCTATTGAAAAATTCTTATACAACAAGACAGACTGGATCTCCTGTCGTGCCGCTTTATCGAAGTGGGGACCTGAAGTAGGCGGCGGCGAGGATGACTTTATTCCGTTTTTAAGCCAGGTTATCTGAGACTATCATGAACATTGTACAAATACGGACTCAAAGTTTTTGTTGAAAGCCAGGAACAACAGGTTAAACTTGGAAATAAAAGCCCAGTTCACTTAAATTATATTTTTACTTCGGATGTGAAAGGTGTAGTAGCTTTACATAGAGTCAATGCCAATAAAATTGCGGTTGTTTTTATATAACACTGCAAATAATTTCATCACAAATACCTACAGACTTTTAACAAAACACAACTTCAAGGCGCATATTCCTGCAGCGCAGATAGAAACTGGAATCATCCGATATGTGCCTTTTTTTTTTTTGGTCAGGAGGAAATCGCCGGACTTCCGCCCTTATCTGGGGATACTGGGCGGGGTATGTCAGAGTCGAACTGACTAAAACCTCCTGTCGCTCAACAACCAACGTCCAAACCTCGCATGAGACAGAACTCATGACAAGGCAAAGGGGGGAAAGTGAAGCGTTTAGTGCGGAGCACATCTCTCCCATCACCCTCCCCCTCGGGACGCCGGACTGGCGGTCGTCGGCGCCACGACCACCAGCCANGGATACTGGGCGGGGTATGTCAGAGTCGAACTGACTAAAACCTCCTGTCGCTCAACAACCAACGTCCAAACCTCGCATGAGACAGAACTCATGACAAGGCAAAGGGGGGAAAGTGAAGCGTTTAGTGCGGAGCACATCTCTCCCATCACCCTCCCCCTCGGGACGCCGGACTGGCGGTCGTCGGCGCCACGACCACCAGCCAGCCCTCTCGGTCCGATATGTGCCTACCAACATTTCGAACAAGAATTTATATATGCCTGTTAATATTCAATATCATTAAAAATAACTCAACTTATTAAAACCGCGCCAATCGTACTTTAACGACTAATTGGCCGTCTTCACTGACATTTTTTTGTTGAAGTTTTCAATATTTTTTTGATCTACATAAGAAATAATTAGACATTATAAACGCACTTGTTAACAAAACGCTAGTACCACGGCCATTGCCAGCTGACTGACAAAACCGGTGCACGCGCAATGCAGGCGTGCGGTGATGGTTTGCATATTAGATATAAAATAATCAATAATTGGAAATTTAATTGTTTTTATGATCGAACAATCACCAATAGTCGTGGAACAAACGATAATAATAATTGATCAAAATTAATTAATCTGAGCGATAAAAATAAAGATATCTAGTAAAGGGAGCCAACTTAAGGGTGATCATATTTTGTTTAATTAATTATAAATAACTAAAAGAAGAATAAACAATTTTTACATTCAAACATTAACGAACAAACGGCGAACAAATAATTAAAAATAAAAAAAACCGAAAACCAAAAAAGGGGGGCCAAATTCAGTGAGTCGTAAAAATCTACGAGCTCCCGCGACGCATCGCAAGAAGTTGCGCGCATTCCTGAGATGTGTAAAGGATTGTGGCAATTGTGGAAGGGAGACAGACGTCTTGCCGTACGACATTGCATTGCAGCAATTCGTGTCGTAGTTATTTGTGTTGTGAATTCGCATCGCGCTGATTCGCAGTTTTGTTTTTAAAATTTATGTTTCAATAAAATTAGTAAGTCTCAAATAATTTACAATTACATATTTACAAATGAAATATGAATGATTTATTTTATTTTATTTCAGACAACAACAAGACCATAATGTGTGTACATAGTATCATTGAAACATACCTAAAATTAACAAAACCAATCACTTAAAAAGATACATTTGTTAAAAATAATTATTAGTTGAATACATTTCAAATATTCCATTCAACTGATACTTACTTCGAACCAATATATAAAAATATGCTTACAACTGCGCCATCTAGTATAACAAAAATAAACTACGCTCATAGTTTGGTTTTTATTATCAAAAATCATGCGGAACTCATCACAAAAATCTACTCCTTTAACCATTTTTAGTGTAAACAAACTTATAAAAAAAGTAATATTGCAGTTTAAAGTTGCCGGACTGGGAAATGGTAACTTCATAGGCGTAAGACTTCTATTAAAATGACAAAATCCGCGTGTTAGACATGTATTTGTAATGAACTAGAAAGAATATTAAAATTTGACGCTAAATCAAAAATTTCAAACTAATAACAACAATTATTGTAAAAAAGGTATTCTTAATGCGTGATAGATTTTAATTTTTGCTTTAATTTATCTTCGCCATCTGCTTCGATCAACAATAGTAACTAGATAAAGGGATACGTACAAAATTAAAGCAAAAACTGTCCGCGTGAATATATACCGTAAAATGGGGTCGATAGAAACATTTTTAGACTTTGAATCAGATTTTCACTGTACTTGCGACTTTAAATAAGAAACAATTTTTGTTGGAGTATGAGTTAATATTGGTTATACATTAAATAAACAGTAAGAAGTATTTTTATACTTTGTTTATTCCATAAAAGACGAAAATATATGTGTTTTCTATTTGGACTGGATGTGGGTTCAATGGATACGCCATATGGGGTAAATAGAAAAAAATGCTAGGGCTGCTACTTTTTCGATAGTATATGTAGGTAAATAATCATATGTAGGTACTCACCACCTTGGGTAAGTTGCCTGATTTTTTGTAAAATGAAACTAATTATTTTGAGTACCTATTTATTATAAATTGCACTTAGAAGTTTAAATCACAGTCCTTAGAATTACTAGGAATCATAGAGTATGATAATAGTTATCCCTTATTTATTATTTTATCAGTCTTATTAATTTTAAATCACTTCTTCGAATGAGATTCTTATAATTTATTTTGTAGCTATATAATATCATCGTCCATCAAATCTTTGAGAATATCAGCATCATTAGTGTAGTACGATGATCGTGGTGCAGGCACCATAGTACTTTTCGAACCGCTTGTGCTAGGTTGATTAGCAGTTTTAACAAAAGAATGTGGAGAAATATGTCTGCATTCATTTAAATGAACTGATATCTTTCTGTCCGAAGTACTTGGAGATATAATTTCGTCAGCAAGAATGTTTACTTTATTATTTGTACTAATTTTCTTTATTCTCGGTGTCAAGTTCTCTTTACCTTCTGTACTCGTACTTGTAAAATTCTCGGCTATCACTATTTCATTTCCTTCATACAAAACGTAATCTCCAATAGTAATGGACATAGCCTCTATATCTTCATTAGATAAACAATAAATTTCAGTATTTTGTATATTATTTAAAGAGTTAGCATCATCCGGTTTTTTCTGATATACAATTTCCTTTTTTTCTTCATTTTCTTTGCCTTTATTTCCTTTTGTTTTTTTTCCTTTACCCTTACCTTTATAAACTTTTTTATCCATTTCATCATAATACGCCGTTTCTTCGTCATAAATCCTTTCTTCATTATTTATCTTTTTCGTCCTTTTTCCAATTCTTTTGGCTTTTTTCTTTACATTTTCTGATTCATCCTCAGTTTTTCCATAATCTTCAGAAGAACCAACACTTCTTCCTGGTATAACTTCTAATTTTCTTTTTCTTTTTGGTTCGATTATATTAGTTGTTCCATACCGCATCTCTTTGAGAATGTCTAATACTGATTTTTCAACTTCATTTTCTCCACTTTCTTTTACATCTAGTTCTTCCGGCAGTCTACTCAAAACCTGATTTGGATCAATAGGTTTGATTCCGGTCTTCCTAAAACCAGATATTATATTTTGTTTGGCATTTTCAGAGAGGTCTTCCATGAGTTTTTTTAATAGCTTTGGGAAACATCCTTTGGGCAGAGATGTTTGGGACTTGCCATCTGTTTTTTTCCATTTAACCAGAATGTTACGCCAGGCCATCTTCACTGGACGAAAGAATGCTACATCCAATGGCTGGGTTAAATGTGTGCTATTGGCTGGTAAAAAGATGAATGATATATCTTGCTCATGACATAATTTTATTACGTCTAAAGACAAGTGTGATGACAAATTGTCCCCAATAAGAACTTTCTTCCCTTCTTTGTTTCTAAAATAAGGCAAAACAATGGATTTTACCCAATCTTCGAATATATTGCCGTCGAACCATCCACTTTGAGACCGATTATATCTAGTTCCCGCTGGCCCATTCTCACACCACGTATCGTATAAATTTTGGGCCTTGTACACCACATAGGGTGGCAACAAATCCCCTTCAGCGGTAGCTGACATCATTATCGATATNCATAGTGCAAAATCAAGTGACAGTGCAAGATCCCTCCCGCCGCCTGAGTGATATGTTAAAAAATAGATCCTATTACGTGCCTCTATATAAATTCATCAAAAATACAGTGGGGAAATTATAATAAACCGAATAAAAATACTTAAGACTTGGCCTAAAGGTCTAGATACCAGGCCATAAATTCCAAAAAAAAAAAAAAAAAGCTGCACTGTCATAAGAGTCACTGTCAATGAATCGGATAAAAACGATAAAAACACAATAGAACGTCAATTAACTAAACCCAAACTGTTCCAATTGAAGACCAGTCCTGTAGTTTCTTGTTGATTTGACTTGTTTTATCTTCTTATATTCTTTCATACAACTTCAATGATCTTAATGTTCATTTACTGTTTTAAATTATAGCTAGAAGGATATGTAAAATACCAAAATGAGTATAATAACTTCAGAGTCTCTCAAAGGTAAAGTTTTTGATATTCTCGAAACAAATACCTCATACATCATCAACATATTTGTTTTGTCAAAAGTTACTTGAATTCTTGGATTATTTAATTCACAGATACCGTGACAGTTTTAATAAACGCTGCCGGAGATAATGAACATTCTGTGAACAACGTCATTATAAAATCACTCGCGAAAATAGCGAACACATATCCGAACGAAGTCATCGCTATATTTTGTGAATTCTACAAAGACACTGTGAAAGTGAACACTACACTATTGGGAAACATTATCAAGTAAGCCAAATCATATAAAATTTATAGAAAAAAAATATGTAAGGGCATTAGATTGTGCAACCTACAATTAAAAAACAAAAAAAAATTTTGGAAGATTTGTAGCGAAACCTATCCTACAATAAAAGATATTTGACGAAAACCTGAATCATGCACACAACATTTTCGGTAAAAATTTCGACTTATTGAGCAATCGGTGGAAGATTGGAAGCAATTCCTAATCCGAAGTCCATTTTAGGGAATATCAACCACGTCTTTAAGAAATCATAATAAATATTTTGAAATATATACATATAAAAACATACATACATAAAAAAACTAGTATTGATGTCACCTTGAAAGTGTAACTTACATAATTCTGCATAATTAGTTTACATGTAGATATAAAATTTTCTATTGAATAGTAGTTAGCTTTTTATATACAGTCAAACCTGAGTAAGTGAGAACTGGATAAGTGAGAAAACTCTATAAGTAATAGCCAGGAACCGTCATTTTAAGCTCCCAAAACCTCTATTAGCGAGAAACAGAAACCTCTGTAAGAGAGAGTCGTTTTTTCCTCATGGACCTCCGTAAGTGAGACTGCTACTTATCTATACCTCTATAAGCGACAGTCGAGCTTTATTTATTTATATTATTTAGGAGGAACAAGTGAAAAAACTAATTACAAATTTAACATCTGCTATTTTATGACTCATTCTGAACTTTTGTAGAACTTCCTTCCATTGTTTTTGTATTGCTTTCTTGTCAATATTGAACCTATTCTATTTCGTGAAACTAAATAACGTTGTTATTTTATCGCATTCTTTTTGAATTGACACGTGCGCCTGTGTACCGTCCTGTTTGTCGGACTTACTCAGTTTATCGTTAATCAATTGCGAAGGTAAGTTCTGTTCTGCATCATGTCATAACGGAAAATTAAAGTACTGTCATTAAGTGATAAACTAAAAATAGTGAATGCGTTTGAATCCGGAAAATCGCGAAATGAAATTCAGAGGGAGTGTTAGCGAGAAACACGGGTTAGTGAGAAACCTCTTTAAGCGAGAATGGGATTGTGCTCCCTTGAACTCTCGCTTATCCAGGTTTGACTGTACTTACCTTTCTGTATAATTGCCTATTATATACCCATTATAACTAGAGATGAATAAAATACTTGAAAGTAATAAATTTAGAAAGCAGTAGGTAAAGGCTTCGCTGTGCCCCTGGCATTGCTGACCTCCAAGTGGGATGCTGTCTATTTATGATAAGGTGGGCATAAAGTGAGCCTCAAAAGTGTCTAAAGGGGCATTATCAAATAATAAATCTATAAAGTAATCACACCCATAATCAACATATATTTAAACATAATTAACATACTTAATTACTGGTGATAGGACCTCCTGTGAGTCTGCACGGATAGGCACCACCACCATGCCCATTTCTGTCGTGAAGCAGTAATGCGTTTCGGTTTGAAGAGTGGGGCAACTGTTGTAACTATACTGAGATCTTACGACTCATATCTCAAGGTGTGTGGTGGCATTTATATTGTAGATGTCTATGAGCTCCAGTAACCACTTAACACTAGGCGGGCGCGTCTACACATCTAAGCAATAACAAAAAAAACGGTTTAATTTTGTCTACAACTTGAGAACTGAAAAAGACTATTTATCCATTTTTTTATTCCAAATGAGTGAAATATACTACAGGAGCCCATAGACATCACTAAATTAATGTCATCCACTTTGAATTTGAACAAATTTGAAGTTTCAATTGCTTTACAGCAGCTTTCCCATATGACCAACCCATAAATTAATAGCTTTGCAAAAAAAAAATATAGTGTGAAAGTTCCTGCTGTTTAGGGTTCTCAATACACATTTCTCTAGTAATAATACCTTTGATTGTGCTCGAGTTAATATGTATGGCCCTGTCTAGCTTTTTAAACTTAACAATTTTATTATCTAAATGTAAATTTTTTAAACCAAAAAAAACAAGATTTGAATTTCAATTTCCAGGGTATTAGAACAAACATGTGTCAATCAAGTAAGAAAACTAGATCCAAAAGTAGCAACAGAGCTTGTGAGCTCAATGCTGCGAGCCATGACTGAAAATGCTGGTTATGAACCTGTGACACAGCTGGGGGCTTCTGCTGTCCTTGTTGCCGTGGGCCATGAGAATTTAGACTTGGTAAATTGATCTATGAACATTATTTTTTAGTTTATTCACCGTGGGTGGGGCCGTATGCTCTCGCCTGCCTAAATGCGCAATAAAAAAAAAGTTTAGATTTGTTGTCTTTTATTATTGCTTAGATTGGTGGACCAGCTGACGGCCCACCTGATGTGAAGTGATTACTGGAGCCCATAGACATCAACGATGTAAATGCCGCCACCTACCTCGAGACATAAGTTCTAAGGTCTCAGTTTTTACAGTACAACAGTTGACCCACCCTACATACCGAAACGCATTACTGCTTTATGGTAGAAGTAGGAATAACGTGGTAACTACCCGTGCGGACTCCCAAGATATCTTACGACCAGTAAAAAGTTTACTTAGTTTACTAGTACCTAAGTATACTTAGTACTAGTAAGTAGTTTAAATGTAAATATCACCAACTACAGGCTCAAAACTTGTATGCACTTTTTTAGTTTGTTAGTTTATTTAAAATCAGTTAATCATACAATGTACTCTTAGTAAATCCTCCATTATTACAGTTCTGAACAACAATATTGAATCTGTTTGGATTTTCTGACATGCAATTTTTTTGTGTGAGGTGATGGTTCCGAAATAGTTGCTAAATGTTAGACACCAGTTCGGCTGTGCTTCTGGCATTTCTGGTGTTTATGTGTATCAGGGATCATACATTGTCGTATTGGTCAAGTGCAAAAACGATGTCTATGGGTTAAGACGGTCCCCGACATGACTTACGCGAGTGTGGTGTTCGCTCACGCGGCCCGCACACACATAGACACCCTCCAATCTCTACAATCCCGCTTTTGCAGGTTAGCCGTCGGAGCTCCGTGGTCCATATTATTACGCAATAAGTGTACAGTTTGAAATATTAAATTACTTTTTTCTGTATAACATTTTCAACAAGCAAATGGAGATAAGAAATATTTTGAATTGAACACACAAAATCACTGTATGCTTAACTTTACTGGTGGGCATCTTTTGAGCACGTATGGATATATATCACGAATGTCTATTTCTGCTGTGTAGAAGTAGTGCATTTCAGTTTGGACGTTGTTGGAAAATAAAACTTGAGACTCGGAACTCATTTCTCAAGGTGGGTGGCGGCATTTAACACCGAGCAAGTCGTGAGCTTATTCACTCAATAAAAAAAGTAACTAAAAAAAGAAAAACATTTGAAGTTATCACCCACGAGGAACTCTACAACTGGTTTTTTAAGTGATTCGTTGTTGACAAATATAAACAATACTGAAGTAGTGTGTTTGATAATTTTGTAAATTATCAGCTTTGTAATAATTTAATGACATTTTTGTTTACTGTTATCTAAAAACTATAATATAATATGACATCATGTGTTCAAGTGTTATTCAAATGATCATAACAAAAGTGAAGTTTTTAAACATTTTAATTTGTTGAACAATTTTATTCCCGAACTGAAAAAGTTTAGTTTCAAAGAATAATGGAAAGAGGTTATTTTTTACTAGCATTAAAAACTATTTAGATCTGCTTGGTCTTATTCCAACACGAATCTGTGCTTTCATTTGATTTAGTCTATAGATTTTGTCTTAACTGCCTTGACTGGCTGTAATAGGAATATCCAGTTTTGAGCTATATTTTCTATGCAGGCACTCCGCTCATTGATCAACCAACTTTCCCCAGCAACAGTACCACATTATACAATACCCCACACACTTGGAACTCTCGCAGCCGTTAATACACACGGTGTTGTCCCACATATTAAGGAGATACTCAGTAAAATGTTGCCGCTTCTTTCGTTGGTGAAGCAGGATGGATTGAAACAGGCATTTGCATATGGTAAGTTTTGTTATAGAAATAAGCAAAGCCTGCGTACAGTGATAGTTACTGCTAATGGTTTTATCTACTTATGTAAAAAGAAGGCTAGCTTGACCATCGTTCTGTGGGATAGTCGTGCAGTTCTCTTTATTTCACGCACTTTCTCAAGGCGTAGTCTCTTCGGAGGCTCCGGGTTCCGACACATTCCTGTCTGATTCCCCATAGGTGGAGTTTCTATTAGTAGGTTCCTCACCGTAAACAAAGGGTAGCTTAGCCTTAAGATAAACCTTTTTCCAATTTCACTACTTTTTGTTTCGAAACATTAGATACGTTGTGAAGTGAATGAGAAACGATCCTCCCTCACCAGCAGTAATAATAAAATATAATTCGTCTATTATCTATCTCTCTCTCCTCAGCGTTCGGCCACTTTGCAGTAGCTGTCTCCGAACATATTGGAGACAACGTGGAAAACGACAACATTACTTCTATTAAAGAAAATTTCGTCACCGAATTCACAATTATATTTGACGTACTTTACAATCAGTGGTTGCCTTCATACGAGCCGAAAGTTTCTGAATCAGTTCTGGAAGCTCTTGGACCGATAACAAGACTTATATCCGAAAGACAGTTCAATGAAACGGTCAACAAATTCGTTCTGTCATTATTGGCTTTATATCGGAAACCAAATATCAACTATTATTACATCAGTCAGTGTCTATCTTATTTATTATCTCCGTCGACACTCAATCCGAAGTTAGGGTTGAATGAGAATGTCATTACGTCAATAAACCACGTCCTATTCCATTTGGTTGTGCTGGAGCCAGATTATGATCAACCACAAACCGTTAAAAATCATTTCGAAGTTTTACGATGTTTCGATCACATGGCCAGACAGTATTCTGATCAAACGATCGAGGGACTCCTACATCAATGCAAAAACAACCAGGAAAAGGATAGAATGAAGGCCGTTATAATATTGACTCATTTGACGACATCGTCGCAAGTCTTTATTGATAATTACTCGAGCAAATTTATAACGTTATTAAAAGTCATGACCAACATGGAACATGGTGTGAAAATGAAGAAGTTGTTAGTCAAAGCTATTGTAGGCTTAGTGTACAGGAACTGCATAACGACCCCCGAGGATTTTTCCATGATAGAATTCATAATTAAACATTGCGGATTTGAGGGCCCAGCGAATGTGTCATTTTACGAGATCTCAGACTTACAGGATACCTGTAAGAATTCTTTAATCCTAATGTGTAATACTGTGACAAGTATACGTGGTCAGCTGAGAAGTTTGCTCTTATCTGCACTCACTGTTGAAGACTTAACTCCATCTATGTCCACGGTTGCACATTGTCTAACGTCACTGTTCCAAAATAATTCTAATGTAATTGAAGGTGAAACAGTAAAAGGCTCAGAAATCAAATATTCGTCTGATTTGGTATTTGTTCGGTGTATCACCCACATTGTGGATCCAGAACAGAAAGAAAAAAACAAGAATCTACTCGTGTTCCTCGAAGATTATTCTGGGGACGTACACAAAAATTTGAAAAATTCATGGACCATCGAATTACAGCGGCTGCTGAAATTTGTTGATAAAAGTGAATCGAGGGAACAATGGCACAGTATGCTATTAGATTTATTGGTATCTGCTGTCGATCAAGTTAATAACGACAAGTGGGTAGAGACTATAGCGACTTTGATCTCAAAGCAGATTTTGTCAAAGAAACAGCATCCTATGATCAAAGGAGTCTCGTTACAGTATCTGGCAACGCTGTCGTGTCACATACCGAACGCTGCTGTCGTTGAGTCCACACTCAAGATAATACTATTTTCCCTAAAATCTATTCCGATGGAAAACTGTGAGTATGTTAGTAAAGCAATAGGTATAGCTTCTCGGCAACACGGAGAATTTATATTGAACGAATTAGACGCAGCTTACAAGGAAAATGAATCGAGAAAAGGTAGTAAAATAATGAACTTCCTTTCGTCAAAGAACTCTAAAACTGAATTGGAAATTAATATCGTGAAATATGCATTAATCACTTGTTATGGTAAAGTAGCTGTTGATTGTTTAGATGCACACGTTTTGGCTAGACTTGGGGATAACGTTACTTCAATTCTATACGATATACTGAAATCTGGGCCTGCTTTCGACATGTGCAAGGCAACAGTAACAACTTTATACGAAATAGGCAAAGCATTGCATCCTGCAGCTCACCATAATGTAGTTCTCAGAAACCGTTGGCAGTTATTAAATGCGGTTTTAGAACAAATTTACAACTCGAATTTGGAGAAACGCAATGTCGAACTCTACCCTATAATAGTTAAAGCATCGAACGCATTGACTAAACTCCAAAAAGGTATTTTGCCGGAAGAAAGAAACACCATTCTGAGGGTATTATTTAATAGCATATTCGGAGAATTGTCGTCGTTTAAGCGTAAATATGAAGCCGATGGGGTTGACGGAATAAACGACATACTCGCAAAAACTTTGAATGACAGCTTAATATTATTGCACCAACTAATAAAAGAGCTTATAATCCAGTCGACTTGCTTAAGCACAATCGATGACTTAATCGGTTTATTAACAGAATGGCTGAGACATGAAAACGATGAAATACGAACCGCTTCAGTACTGATACTTCAAGTTATTTTCGATACGTACATAAAAAACGTGAGGCTGAATTATGAGACGCCAAGTAAATTCGGTCAGATGGGATACCTATTGGGTCTGGTCGTGCCTGGTATTGCAGACACGAATTTTCCTGTGCGTTTAACAACTATAGATTGCATAAAACTAATAGTACAGATTCAAGATTTATACGAAGGTCACACTATAGAACCAGGGGATCAGTGTATGGTCAACCTAACTCGACTGCAGAACAATGTTTTGACAAATGATTTGAACATGATCAGTGATTACTGCGTAGTTCTTTGTAACACTATAACACCGAAGATACCGCACCGGCACACGATGCAATTCATTGAAAGTATTTTGGAGTGTTACGATAGTCAAGAACATAAAAGCGTTGGGATTAGTGCTGTCCTGGACGCATTTTTCATTAAGAAAGGTCAGGATTTGTTCCAAAATATCGAGAGGATAGTTGAAGTGATGTTGAGTACAATGGACGAGGTCAATGAAGATGCGAGGGTGAAGCTCATGAGGCCGCTGACGTCATTAACACGTCATCATTCTAACGCCGTCACTGCTGTTCTACTGAGCCAGAAGCTACCTTTAAAACCGTAAGTTACACTGACGCTAACACTAACATTTTAATGATTTAATTGTGATATTATTCGATTAAGTATTAGGCAAGTCCGGTATAGTGATCTTATGACAAAGTTTGGTGCTGGGTTAGGTTCTTCATGTTTTTTATTTTATTTTTGTGATGAACCAATTCGCGGTCCACCTAGTGTAAAGTATCTATCGAAACTCGCGCATAGAAATGACAATGACGCCACACATGTTACCCTTCAAACCGGTAAGGCCGTATGGTGGTTCCTACTCGTGCATACTTATAATTATATCATCCGTATTTAGGGATCACCGCGATCAACATATGGTCTTATTCATTATTTCAATAAGAGAAGGTTGTTTTGTTTATTGAAGCTAGAGCTATTCCGTTTTTCAGTTGTGTAGTGTCATGTTGGCACCACCTCGCCCGGGACGAGAGCTTGTCTGAGGCGATCACCGAGAACTTCTTGAGATTGATGACGTCAGTGGAGCTGTATGAGGATCCGTACCACGTCATCGACAACCATGTGGCTGCTCTCCAGCCTTTGACTGTAAGTTTGGAATAGTTTGAAGCGTGCTTTAAATCGGTGTTTCTCAAAGTTAGTGTGGAGGGCCAAAGAAAAAAGAAATTGGGTTCTACTAGAAGTATATGGTTGTATCATTACGTGAACTGCCAAGGGACTATAGTCAGGTCCTGCTAGAAGGTAATATTTGAGAGAGAAATCGAAATGTCCAGCTTTTACATTAAACTAGTTTATAAACCATTCTAGGTTTCTCTGGTCGTCGATTTTTTTTTGCTAAAGCTGTATGTAATATGTGTAAAAAAAACTCAGTACTGGCCCAACATAAGGCCCAAGGTCCAAAAGTCTTCGCCTCCAAGAACAGAACTCGTTTTCTTGATCTGTTCTGCGTTACAGACCAATCTATCTGCAGTATATGCAAAATATTTATTGCAGCTAATAAGTGCCTTAGGCGAGATGCTGCAGGAGTCCACGATGAAGGCCACGTGCAAAGCGAAGTTCTCTGAACTGTTCTCTGTGCTGTACACGACCTTGGCGTGCTACATCGACGCGGAGCCGCCGGCCTACTCCCATTCAGGCAACAAGATGCAGGAGAGGTTCGGTTTCGTACCTAACAGGGAGTCCGTCAGGCTGTCACCGGCCAAGATCACAATTAACGCTTTTAGCGCCTTTTTGGAGCAAGCTGACTGTCAGAAGGTAAGGGTTTTTTATAAATTTAATATTTCCTTAATAACTTTGATTCTTTCTTGTTGCAAAATTGAAGGCAGTGGAAATTTTAGGCAGACTGGCAAAGGTTTCATTGATTTCATTATTTTTAACTTAATAGCAAAGTGATAAAATGTGGTTTTCTTTTTTAAATTATTGGCTGGCCGTGGTACATACCTCTGTATGAGCTAGCTCGGACATATACAGTACAAGGACTGCCCCGCATTACTGCTTTTCGCCACAGATAAGCAGGATGGTGGTACCTACCTACCACTGGCCACATTGGCTACAACCAGTATAAATTTTATAATTACACAGTACGTTTTAATGTTTATAGGCTTCAATAACCACATAGCAGTCGTCCTTAGGCTTAACTTAAACAAAAAAATATTTTAAGGGGAAATCCCTTTGAATACACCGTAGTACAGGAGGTCGTCCGACACTGCAAAAAGAAAGAAATTTACCATATCGAAGTAGTTCTAAAAACCGAGTTCCATTACTTTTTAAATAACTTTTTGGTTTTTGCGGGTATTCCTAACAGTTTGACTGCCATGTAGGTCACCAATTCCCTATGCGGCGCACTGAAGCAATTGTGTCGATTTCTCCCTTCGATTTTCTTACTAAGCCGCCAGAATATCTAGTAGACTCGGTGAAAGATGAATCCTAGTCCGAAAAGACTAAAACATACATTAACAAACAAAGGAAGGCAAAGTCAGGCAATCCAGGCGCTTAGTAACAGAAATTGACATAATTACTTCAGTGCGCCGCGTAGGGTACCATTGACCTATATGGCAGTCAACGTGTTAACAATCCGAATGAACTATGCGAAGCCTATATAATGATGTGCAAAAGTTTTTTTTTATTTTCGTAAATGCTGTCGTTGTACGTGTTGATTGATATGTTGGAATTGTTCTTAGACCTAATTAAGATTGTAAAACCAGACTCTAACCACGTAAGCTACCTCCTTACGTTGAGTCTAATAACTCTGATTGTAAACCGCTATATTTATATTGGATTAATAGCAAAATACCTATGTCTTACATAGGTCCGTGAAGCGTGTTCCCTCTGCCTGAGTGTCGAGCACGGCGATTCGGCTACCACACTCCTAGAGCTGGCACCCATATTAGGAGGGGCGGTGTCACGCGAGTGTCCGCAACATTTGGCGAAACTAGTGTCGCGCGTGTCGGCGTACGCCAAATCTAGTCTGCCGCCACAACGATGCGCGGCGCATGCCTTGTTGGCCGATCTGCTTAATTACAGGTACATACGTGGTAGAATTAGAATTTTTTAAATTAATTTGAACCCAATTATTATGACTTTTTAATGAATGGTCAAGGTCCATCTAAGGAGCTAATCCTTAGGTTGAGCCCATGAGCTCATCTACCCAAACAGCGACTAGCTAGGGGCAAAAATATTAAAATGTCAAAATTTTGTAACATTCCAGATGCAACGATAACAACGTACTGATAGAGTCAGTGATGGCGACGCTGAACACCGGCTGGAAGGACACATGCGACCGCGTGCGAGCCACCTGTCTGCGCGGCGCCGCCAACGTGGCGCAGCTCCGCGGCGACGGGCGCGCCGCCCACCTCACGCACGCACTGCACGCGCTCTCGCAGGGAGTCGACGCGCGCTCCGACACGTACGTAGGGGGACAGGGGGCGTGTGGGACGCGCACTGCACGCGCTCTCGCAGGGAGTCGACGCGCGCTCCGACACGTACGTAGGGGGACAGGGGGCGTGTGGGACGCGCACTGCACGCGCTCTCGCAGGTATTATAATAGTGGACGCTCTTCGTGACATAGGGTTAGGTAGTTAAATCTGTACATGAATTGTTCCCAACGTGCAGCTCTTGAACCATCAACGTTGATCTACAGGCCACCATCAGACAACGTCCCCCTGGCCTCGATCCAAGGGCTCAGCCGGCTGCTCACCGAGCTAGACCACGTCGACGCGGAATACGATCGCGAGCTGTTGTCGATATCGCAGAAGATACGTCCGTACATGAACACGGAGTGTCCGCAGCTGCGGGAACATTCCATTCGTCTGTTCGGCGTGCTGGCGGCGCGCGTGCGCTCCGACGCGCTGGTCGACCAGGCCGTGAACTCGCTGCCGTGCTTCTTGCTGCACCTGTGCGACAACAACCCCGCCGTGGTCCGGGTGAGTGCGCCGCAGTTGTAATTTCTCTGTCACTAGTTAATCTGCAATACGCTTGGAAAATATACAAAACTCATTTCTCGGAACGATTCGTGCGCCATCTGTCGCTCATTGACGTCACTATAACAAACATGTCGCGTTGAAGACGATGGTACAAACGGTGGTGGACGTATTAAAAACAAAACGAAATAAGTAATGTGGGAGCTAAAGTCTTTAGCTAAATTATTTTATCGAAAACAAACACTGAAATATGACTTTTTGACAATTGGTTTTTGGGTACCCTCATATTTCTTTATTTGCATAGATAAGTAATAATCAAGAGATTGATGTACGTGTGAATAATTTCAGGCGAGCAAATTCACCTTGAAACAAGTGTTCAAGATCTTCAACGTGAAGAAATCGAACGACCTGGTGCAGACGCACCTGCTGGACGAGGGCCGCCTGTACCTGGACGAGTTCCTGTCGGCCCTGCTGCGGCAGCTGGCCGACGAGCTGCCCTCCAGCGTCGCCAGCTGTCTGCGCGCCGCCGCCCACTACCTGCACTGCGCACGCGACGAGCTCAGGCCGCACGCGCCCACGCTGCTGGGTGAGTGCCACGGTTGCTTAGTGGAAGGATGGATGGATGGAAGTCAGCAACTTAGTGGAAGGATGGATGGATGGAAGTCAGCAACTTAGTGGAAGGATGGATGGATGGAAGTCAGCAACTTAGTGGAAGGATGGATGNCGCTCCGACACGTACGTAGGGGGACAGGGGGCGTGTGGGACGCGCACTGCACGCGCTCTCGCAGGGAGTCGACTCGCTCCGACACGTACGTAGGTGGACAGGGGGCGTGTGGGACGCGCACTGCACGCGCTCTCGCAGGGAGTCGACGCGCGCTCCGACACGTACGTAGGGGGACAGGGGGCGTGTGGGACGCGCACTGCACGCGCTCTCGCAGGTATTATAATAGTGGACGCTCTTCGTGACATAGGGTTAGGTAGTTAAATCTGTACATGAATTGTTCCCAACGTGCAGCTCTTGAACCATCAACGTTGATCTACAGGCCACCATCAGACAACGTCCCCCTGGCCTCGATCCAAGGGCTCAGCCGGCTGCTCACCGAGCTAGACCACGTCGACGCGGAATACGATCGCGAGCTGTTGTCGATATCGCAGAAGATACGTCCGTACATGAACACGGAGTGTCCGCAGCTGCGGGAACATTCCATTCGTCTGTTCGGCGTGCTGGCGGCGCGCGTGCGCTCCGACGCGCTGGTCGACCAGGCCGTGAACTCGCTGCCGTGCTTCTTGCTGCACCTGTGCGACAACAACCCCGCCGTGGTCCGGGTGAGTGCGCCGCAGTTGTAATTTCTCTGTCACTAGTTAATCTGCAATACGCTTGGAAAATATACAAAACTCATTTCTCGGAACGATTCGTGCGCCATCTGTCGCTCATTGACGTCACTATAACAAACATGTCGCGTTGAAGACGATGGTACAAACGGTGGTGGACGTATTAAAAACAAAACGAAATAAGTAATGTGGGAGCTAAAGTCTTTAGCTAAATTATTTTATCGAAAACAAACACTGAAATATGACTTTTTGACAATTGGTTTTTGGGTACCCTCATATTTCTTTATTTGCATAGATAAGTAATAATCAAGAGATTGATGTACGTGTGAATAATTTCAGGCGAGCAAATTCACCTTGAAACAAGTGTTCAAGATCTTCAACGTGAAGAAATCGAACGACCTGGTGCAGACGCACCTGCTGGACGAGGGCCGCCTGTACCTGGACGAGTTCCTGTCGGCCCTGCTGCGGCAGCTGGCCGACGAGCTGCCCTCCAGCGTCGCCAGCTGTCTGCGCGCCGCCGCCCACTACCTGCACTGCGCACGCGACGAGCTCAGGCCGCACGCGCCCACGCTGCTGGGTGAGTGCCACGGTTGCTTAGTGGAAGGATGGATGGATGGAAGTCAGCAACTTAGTGGAAGGATGGATGGATGGAAGTCAGCAACTTAGTGGAAGGATGGATGGATGGAAGTCAGCAACTTAGTGGAAGGATGGATGGATGGATGGAAGTCAGCAACTTAGTGGAAGGATGGATGGATGGAAGTCAGCAACTTAGTGGAAGGATGGATGGATGGAAGTCAGCAACTTAGTGGAAGGATGGATGGATGGATGGAAGTCAGCAACTTAGTGGAAGGATGGATGGATGGAAGTCAGCAACTTAGTGGAAGGATGGATGGATGGATGGAAGTCAGCAACTTAGTGGAAGGATGGATGGATGGAAGTCAGCAACTTAGTGAAAGAATGGATGGATGGAAGTCCTCAACTTAGTGGAAGGATGGACGGATGGAAGTCAGCAACTTAGTGGAAGGATGGATGGAAGTCAGCAATACCGTTACTGGTGGTTGGACCACTCGTGAGTTTTACTGGTGGTAGAACCACTTGTGAGTCCGTGCGGGTAGGTACCACCGCCCTGCCTATTTCTGCCGTGCAGCAGTAATGCGCTTCGGTTTGAAGGGTGGGGCGGCCGTTGTAACTATACTTGAGACCTTAGAACTTATATTTCAAGGTGGGTGGCGCATTTACGTTGTAGATGTCTATGAGCTCCAGTAACCACTTAACACCAGGTGGGCTGTGAGCTCCCGGCTTTGCAATAAGCTCCCTTCCACGGTGTTTCCTGAGCGCTATGACATTTACTATCCTTCTTCAAACGAGGCTTGTGGAGAGTATTAACACGTTGACTGCCATGTAGCTCACCGGTGCCCTACGCGGCGCACTAAAGTAATCATGTCCCTTTGCCTTCTTTTGTGCTATGTTTTAGTCTTTTTCGGTCTTTTAGAAATAGATTCACTCTGGGTAACTACGGATTCGGTGTTTAGTGGTTACTGGAGCCCGTAGACATCTACAACGTAAATACGCCACCCACCTTGAGATATAAGTTCTAAGATCTCAGTACAGTTACAACGGCTGCCCCACTTCACGACCTTCCTTCAAACCGAAACGGATTACTGCTTCACGGCAGAAATAGGCAGGGTACCTACCCGCACGAACTCACAAGAGGTCCTACCACCACTAATAAGTACTGGTGGTCGAAACATAACGAAAAGTTTCCCCTACCAGGTCTGCTCTACGCGGAACTTCTCCGCATCAGAGACAAGTACCCCGAGGACACGGAGCTGGAGCCGGACGTGTCGCGGTCGGCTCGCGCGCGCCTCCTGCAGCTGATCAAGGACAGCAGCCCCGCGGTCAGGCAAAGCTCCGCCATGGCGCTGGCGAACCTGTGCCTCGTCATCGCTTCGGACGAAATGAACCCGCAATAAAATGTAAAAAATTGGTTACAACGCCATCTGTGTTACATTAAATGAAACTATGTGTCAAACATGTCCTATGGTTAGTTTCTACCAAAAAGGTTTCATGCGCCGAGTACGCGCGGTCGCATTTGTTATTTTAATTCAGTTATTATTTAAGTCAATTTGAAGTACGAATTATTCCGTCTACTGCATTGATATAGGATCTGTATTACTATGGTCATTTCAATATCAAAATCTTAAAAAAAATACCCTGTATGGAGATTCTCGTGAATTCAAGGCAATCATCACACTGATGTATTCTGTTATAATGTTAACTTTCAACAAGTGAATCTCTGAGAAAAGGATAGTCTGCGTGGGGTCCCGTTGCTATATTCGGTGCGAAAGCAAAAATAAAAAAAAAATCACTTGTAGCCAACACTGTAATAATTCACAGTGTTGCCAATGATACGACTACATTGTCCTAACGCAGTAGAATTAACGAAAAAGTGTAATTGTGAGAAAAATACGTAATTTTTATTAGAACCCCGATTTATAAACACAAGAAATGAAATCTTTTTCTTTTATTTTATGAAAGTAAGCTTAGAATACACCGGCATTATATTCATATCGTTCCATTGAAACTTTGTTTAATAATTGTAATGTTTGTATTTGTAAATTTAGGAAACTTTCTGAATTATAATATTTTATTACAAGAGGACAATAAATGCAATCGAAACGAATAAAAAATTAATCTCATTGCTATTAAGTATTGTTTTATTTTTAGATTGTTTTCTTTATAAAATTTAAGACTGAAAAATGAAATTCCAAAAATGAAATATATTGTTTTTCTCGTTACACAGAATTGTTATAAAAAATTGTTGAAAATATATAATAATTGCATATTATAATTTTGTCACATATGTAAATTTTGCCAAATTTATATATGTCGAAAAAAAAACCACTCAATTGTGATGATGTAATTAATTTATTAGACACTGCGTACCGAGAAGAATCTATGTTAAATGTTTTAAAAATAAAGCTTCAATTTCCATGATTCCGTGTTTTCTTGTTCGCTAAACGGGCCGCGGTTTCGTCGCACACTTGGCATCTGAACGATACAAAACTAAATTCGCTGGATCAATCGCTGGAGATCGATTAGACATTAAACAATTTGGAGCAGGGAGTTAGGTACTGTATTTAAGTATATGAAAACAGCGTCGGAACGCTTCTTCGAAAAAGCGGCGCGACACTATAACACTCATCATGGCCACCGCTATTTACATGCCCGATCCATGGGACGACATACAGTCGCCGTCACCTCAAACACATCATTTCGGTGCTTTTAAGCATTCCCAGCACCGTTCGCCTAACTTGTTTTATTCTCGTCTAACTCGAATACAACTAAGAGTCCGATGTGCAACTTAACCCACAGACACAACCCACTGAGTTTCACGCTGGATTTTCTCAGTGGGACGCGCTTGCGGACCGGTGATAGAACTGCTCTTAGCGAAGCACTGCTTTTACCAAGGCTAGAGTTAATAAAGCCTCAAGCTGAGCCCCACGAGCTCGCCTACACATTTGGTAAAGCCATTGTAACTCCTTGAAATTATTATCAGTACGAAAAAAAGGTACTGTGTTATGTGTGCCGGAAACACACAGGACAAGAACACATATCTTGAACAAAGTAACTGCCTCCGAAATTCAATTCGGATCTGGTGATATAATTGGAATCGCTGGCCAATAGATCAACAAGGAGTTCGCCGGCGCTGTGCATTCGTTTCATTAAATCGAACTATTCAAATTGTTAACTTTAGATTTTTAATATTATTTTTTTTGTTACCTTCGTAAGTACACTAGGATACGGCCCTGGAATCGAGTGGTTATAGTTCATCAACATCGGCGATGCCAAAAATAAAGATAAAAAACGCCACACGAATAATGCCGTATCGAAGCTAATTTGTTTTAAAGTAGATTTTATACGCATTTTTTTTTTATTGCTTAGACGGGTGGACGAGCTCACAGCCCACCTGGTGTTAAGTGGTTACTGGAGCCCATAGACATCTATGACATAAATGCGCCACCCACCTTGAGATATAAGTTCTAAGGTCTCAGTATAGTTACAACGGCTGCCCCTCCCATCAAACCGAAACGCATTACTGCTTCACGGCAGAAATAGACAGGGTGGTGGTACATATCCGTGCGGACTCATAAGAGGTCCTACCACCAGTAAAGCACCAATTCAGCACCATATACTTACTGAGGTGTTTTAGCGAGCCAAAATTCTTTGTTCGGTTCAGCGAATGCCCTTAATTGCTTGCCGTCCCACGAAACTGACTCCATCCTCCACTCTGGAGATACGTACGGTGCTCTGATATTCGGTATAGTTATCTGAAATCATCAATTTAGCTAACTCAAAACAAACAGTGGTAAAATAGATAATGCCTTTGAATAAGTCTGTATTTTTAGTATCCGGCAAAACAATGACAACTATGTAAAAATTATTGTAAATAAATAATAGTTAAAAAAAACTAACAAAATACGCTTTTATACAAAATCCAACTAAAAAATAGAAAATAAATTTGAATTAAAAATAGTGTAAGAAAAAACGATTTTATTGTAAAAAAGTGTGGGGTGCTGTTCAGGATATTATCAAAATAACCCTTCTACTCATATCTATAACTACTGATACCATGCACCCCAAGTTCTTTTACAATAAAATCATGTTTTCTTACACTATTTTTAATTCAAATTTATTTTTAATTTTTTAGTTGAATTTTCTATAAAAGCGTATTTTTTGTTAGTTTTTTTAAACTATTATTTATTTTTAATTTTTTAGTTGAATTTAAATTTTTTCAACTTTTTTTCATTTTTTTAAATATTGATTTGTCATCAGTCCTTAATAAGTATACCAAAGTTCGAGTTAATCCGACGTTTTGAAGGGGGTCAAAATCATATTCAAATATTCCGTTACATACTAACATACATACGTCTGAAGCTAATAAAAGCGTATTAAAAAGAATATTGTTTTTTTAATTTGGTATAAAACACTGTTTTAAATATGCAACAAACAAAAGGGAATCAAGGTAGTCCACACATTGACTATTTATTGCCGTCCCTCAAGGCTGATTCGGATAAACTGATTGACATCTTTAATCGGATTGTTATGTTCACCTCCGTCGAGGCACATCTAAATGAACGTCAAATTTGACTAGTGTGACGGTCGCTAGCTTCGCTTGAGGCGGCTGATCCCCGCAAGTATTGTACCTCAAAATCTATTTATACGAAATCATATGAAATTATCAATAGCGCGATGCATATTTTCGTTTAATAATTTATTTAGATTAAAGTGGATTCATAGTCATTTCCTCCTCAGTGCTTCTTTGAAGCGAAAAGCTTAAGATGATTTTAGTTAGGTGAACATTGAAATTGTTTTTAATTTAAAACTGTTCATTTTCAATTTAGTTTTGGCGGAATGAAGTATCAACGGATCTACTCACTAACGTTATGCGGGTAGTACTGTATTTGTCATGTATTTGTTATGAATCTCGTCACATTCAATTGATAGTTGTATCGTAATGTTGGGCAAATGAGTAAAAAGTTCATAAACATTTTCTTTTACCGGATTCGCTGGTGCCGGCGTACCGGGAAATGATGCTTTAATATTATTCGAAGGAGGAACCCTCATTGTTACATTTTTTGTCGTCGAGTAGAAGTCTTTAATGAATTTCTCGCGTTTTCTACAATAAAATTAATAAAATGTTCAAGAGCGTGTGTAAATAAATGTGCCTACCATTCGCAAAACCTACTACGGATTCTAAGGCATCAAGTCAACTTGCTTTCAAGGTTATTGCTTTAAATTACTTATACGATTCGTTGTATATTTTTCGTTATAGTTAACATTTATCTATTCGTGGGAATATAATTTTAAAGCGTAGTTCATGAACTTTGGTAGATAGGTACTTCATAGGGAGACTTCTACGGAGGGTCTTGTCGACATCTTGAATCAAAATACTATTAAACAGGGCAGTGAATACCGACTCTAATTGAATGTCGTCCATACAAACAGCCGGTGTCATCACGAGGCGAGGCCTAGACTTTAATATGTTCTTGTGTTCAATATCTTGCGGGCGCTCCTGTAAAATTCAAGAATGTTCTAATCAAACTTATAAATTACTAGCTGTACCCGTCCGTTTCGCTGGGCATTTAAAAATAACATTATTATTTCTCAACCCCACAAAGATTCGCATCATTAACGCCCTGTAGCCAACTGGTGTAGGGAGTCAAACACTCATATAAATATTAGTATTTATCCATTAACGTACCTACGTGTATTTTCTACATGGGTACCAAGTTTCAAGTCAACCGGATGCATGTAGTTATAACGAAACATCCGTAAAAACCACTGTAGATTTATATATTAGTATAGATTAATAATATAATTATGAATAGTAAATACACAATATGAAGCACGCTTTTTTTGACAGTATTTCGTGTTTTGACGACATTCCTTTTGGTATTTTGCGATACGTCGCTCCCCACTTAGACATGCAGGTCTCATTTATAAGTTATAGGGTCATTAAAGAGGTCTGTTTGGCTTTTAATTGGATATGGGTTTGAGACCTCCCCTGTTCTATAACCTATTATTAGCACTTCGATAACTTCCGGTCGCCGTAACTATATAACTCACCTATTTTCCTATTAAACTCCATAATTCGTATGTAAGCGATACACACTGTACGGTACATAAAATAAAAGATATTTTGTAAAACCTGAATCGCATTAACGTCGCTTTCAAGTTAAGTTTGTATGCATAGACAATTTACCGAGCGAAAATACTCGGCTACGTGGAAGACATTTCCTTTGTAGTTCCTTAAGCCTGTCCTAAACTCCCTAATGAGTATATTAATTTTACTTCACAACGAAAGGCAACTATTTTTTTATGTTTAAATATATAACACACATATCTTTGCTGCACATCCCTAGGATTCGTTCTCACTACATCCTTAGGCCTCACAAATAGATCCACTGAGACCCTGCCGCCTGGTTTCCAATTACTCAGAGTGTGAATATATTTAAGAGGAGCGGGCGGTATTCTTAAGCAAACTTCTTTATCAATATATTTAGTTTCAGTAATCGGTAAAATCTGACCATCATTGTAGTCCCTTAGACTAGATGTTTTGTAGTCAAAAAGAAGTGATTCAATGCGACTATTGTTATTGGACATTATGCTATTTGAATAAAAACAATGTAAATCAAAAGGTATATCTAGAATAAAATTTCAAATATAAATATGAGTATCAAACAAGCACTTTGTTTTGTCAGTTCATCACATCATTTTGTCAAAAAAAAATGTGTACGATTTTGACACTGATTGTGTCATAATATTTTACACAATGAGGATTTCATTCAATGCCGTAAAAAGTTTGCTTGGAATAAGTATTTGAGAAAGTTATGAATGATTATGTTTTAGTTTTAAAATCAAATTGGAGAATGTGCTCTTTATACCTATTAATAAAGAGCCAATTTGGTTAATATATTTTGTTGGGTTGTAAAATTATATTGTACTGTACATATTTGCATGAAATGTGTACAGTACCTATGTAGTGGTGGTAGGACCTCTTGTGAATCCGCACGGTTAAGTACCACCACCCCGCCTATTTCTGCCGTGAAAGCAGTAATGCGTTTCGGTTTAAAGGGGGGCACTGTTGTAACTATTCTGAGACCTTATAACTCAAGGTGGGTGGCGCATTTACGTTGTAGATGTCTATGAGCTCCAGTAACCACTTAACACCAGATGGGCTGTGAGCTCGTCCAATCATCTAAGCAATAAAAAAATAAAATAAAAAAAAACAGTCATAATAATATGTAGTAAGAGTATTTCATGGACTGCTTCGAGCTACGTTAAACCCGAAAATGCTATTCGAGTCCCGAATAATTGATTATAATTTGTAATAATGTTCAAATTATAGAATAATACTACTATAATATATATTTTTTTATTAATAAGAACTAGAAACTAAACCATAATTATACATTATGCTACAAACTAAAATGCTTAAAAATTATAATCCTTCTAAATTAAAAACACAGTAATGATGTTTGAAAACTGTTAGAAATTGAGTCTACAACTTTTTCGAATATTTTCGATATTCTCTCACACGAGCAGACTCGTCGCACGGTTTGCATCTGTAAATAAAAAATAGTTTTACGAAAGGCTATAATAAAAACACTATACCTTGTAAAACTAATAACATAGTATTTTATTCGAAGAACTTACCTACAAGGGTACTAATTTAATGATATAGACACAAATAGAGATATTGATTAATTTTAGTCTGTATTTTGTTTTCTTCATTAGATTTATTTTTTAACTAATGGAACCGTATTATTTTCACATCGGACTGGATAATTCAAGAATAATTCAAATTTCAACTGTAATTTTGTTTTTTTACAAATATGATCAGGTTTTTGTTAAATGAAATAAAACCTACCTAGACCTCTCCCGTCCCAGCCAAAATTCTTTACTTGGATCACAATGGGCTCTTAATTGCTTTCCATCCCAAGAAACTGATTCCATGCGCCACTCAGGAGATACGTATGGAGGTTGCAGTTTCGCCAAAGCTACCTGCAAATATTCACGTCAAGAACTATAGTAATTCCACAACAAACTCACGAGTAACGACTTATTTTCGTTCGTAATTCACAAATGATAACTTCAACTTTTTAAGGTGAAGCCTCATAACATCAGTTAGGTTTTAAATCTACCGTTTTTCAAATCATTTAACACGCTAAAACATATATACATCGTGGTTTTATGAATTATTTTCTCATGTATACTTATTGTGTATTTGTTCTCAATGTGTCTGGGTGTTCATCCTGTTGGCGCGAAAATGCAGCTATCGATACGGGCGGGAAAAACAGGATTGGACAATTTACCTCAGTGTTTATTATTTTTTGTGCTTTCAACAATTGAAACTGCTTTGAATTTACTTGGCTAAAACCTATATTATGTACAGTTAGCTCTATTTATTTAGTGACTCATTAATGATACAGCTTGTAAACTATAAAGCTGAAATCGTGCTCGCCATTTTACTCACAGGGTTGGCAGCCGCTGGTAATCCAGGTAAAGGAGCCTTGACACTGAAATATGAAGATACAGCTTCCCTTAGTCCTTTGCTGGTGTCGCTAGTGTACATGTCGTAACATAATATATCCCTGGCTCTTGGATTTTCAATGTCATCCATACTGACTGCCGGGGTCATTACTATACGGGGTCTGGTCCTTTGAGCGATTTCTCTTTCTGTGTCTTCAGGTTTTTCCTGTTTAAATTCATTTTTGATTAACTTTTTAATTTATAGATCGATCAGTCGAGATCATTGTTTTTATTGCGTCATGGAAAACTAGACATTACGTTACCTATCATTGTCGCTAGGAGGAGACGAGATGAATGCGTGACTTTATTACACAGATATCATAGTTATCTGGAAGACTAGCTAATTTTAGAGGGAGCATCTTTGAAAACTGCTTTGGTTAAAAAAAAACAATAATTTATCGCAATTTCCACATAATTAATTGTGCAATTACAATACTCGTATTTATGTACTGACTCACGAATAAAATAAAAAACACGTTTTACGCTACGCGCAAATTAAACAAAATAACAGGAACCGTACGATTGATTTTTATAAAAAGTTAACTCATACGCAAGGCTGCTGAACAATCCTTGGATCGGTGCCCAATATCTGCTTCGGTCTATGTAACAAACTGAAAGATATCGCTTCAGCCTTCCAATCGGAAAGCGTGTGTACATCTTTAAGTGGACGCAGCTTCGGTGGTGCTCTCCGTGGTTTTTCGTTGTACACAGTAATTGATTGTGGCCTAATTTCGCCATTTCTATAGTCAGTACGGTTTGTTGTGCCGTAATCGAAGAGCATCGATTCTATTCGCTTATCAGACATTATTTTTCTTAATCTTATATATTAGTAATTGTGAAATTATGAAACGTTCACGCGACGAACGCCAACAAACATGACACATAATATATTAAGTGTATAATATATGCATGACACTTGACAAATAAAAAATTACACTATGCAGTTTGCAAATGCGGCTATAGTAAACAATATATGTATGTATAATAAACACTATATGTGTGTATTTTTTTTTCTACCTAAGCTGGTTACCTAGGGTGTTATGTTAGTGTAACCGGGCCGAGTTCCCCTCGCATGTCGGTCTGGGGACCGGCGAGGGGGGCCTAAGAAGACGACGTGCAGGCTGCTCTGCATGCGTTTCACGCAAGAGCATCCGGGTGATGGAAGGCCGGCTATCCTCGACCCACGCTGGTTCTGATCCAGCAGGGTATTCCGTAGGATAACTCACTCTAACCGGCGACATCTAGACAGGCTTCGAATAGCCAGCCAACCGAGAAGGCTGGTGGTCTTGGGGCCGACGACGGTCTCCCCGGGGCAGGAGGGGAGGGGTGATGGGAGAGATGTGCCGCGCACTAAACACTACATTTTCCTCCGTTTGCCTTTTCTGTCTCATCCGAGGTGCGGATGTGGTTTGTTGAGCGACAGGAGGTTTTAGTCGGTTCGACTCCGCCATGCCCCCCCCGCCATCCCCAGTGGAGGGTGGAAGTCCGGCGATTTCCTCCTGTCCAAAAAAAAGCGTAACCAGGCGAGGATGTGTATAGTAAACAATATATAGTATATATTAGCCGATACGACAGACTTAGTCCTGTACACAAGTCTTATATCGGAAAATTACTAACTTTTTTGAATAAGTTCTAATAACCTGGACCACTTTGAAGAATTTTTTTAATAAAAATAGTTATTACTACACCGTATTTTGAATCTAAGCCATTCTCGAATTTACTTGAACGCGCACAAAAAATGTCATCAAAATCGGTCCATCCGTTTAGGAGAAGTTCGCTAACCTATGTTCCACACCGTTTACTAAATAACAAAATCAGCTTTATTCATTAAAACGAGATTATTAAGCAAAACTTACCTTTCCCAGACCATGAAATATGGGCTCATTCATACAAATCAGAGTAACTTATGCCTGAACTTAGTAATTGGAAAACATAACGTAAGCCAAACTTTTAACCTGTTTAATTTAGCTAAACGAGTTTTTTTAATTTTTTTATTGCTTATATGGGTGGACGAGCTCACAGCCCACCTGGTGTTAAGTGGTTACTGGAACCCATAGACATCTACAACGTAAATGCGCCACCCACCTCGAGATATAAGTTCTAAGATCTCAGTATAGTTACAACGGCTACCGCATCCTTCGAACCGAAACGCATTACTGCTTCACGGCGGAAATAGGCGGGGTGGTGGTACCTACCCGTGCGGACTCCCAAGAGCTCCTACCACGAGTGAGTTAATTTCAAATAATCAAAACAATTACATATAATTCAAATAATTTATTATATATTCACCAATAACTTACATAAAGTTATAATTAAAACAAAGAAATAAAACAAACAATCGCTTAAAAAACGTGATTATGCATATAAATATGTATTAAATAAAAACACATTTCTTTTTTTATACAAATATCACAAACTAGTAACACGCTTATTTTGGAATCTCAATGACAAAATATGGACATTATGTTTCATAAAAATTAGCTTTTCATTTTATACGCGCGTATGGTTGCAAATTGGTAACTACATTGTGACGTTGTATTCAGCAGGTCCAATCCCTTAGTCCTCTTTATACTTTATATGCTATTCTTCTTAGCAACAATAGAGGATAGCCGATAGCTTTTATTTTGCCATATGAAATGGACGAGCTAACCACAGATCACAGATATAGAACGATTAGTCACACACGACTACGTTATATAATAATATACAGGAAGAGATAAAATAAAAATGGGTTTATTTTATTAGTTAAGTTATTTTTTACAAAAAATATTTCAATTACTATTTTTTTACTTTTCTTTTGTTGATTTCCCTTTGCCTATTTAAGTTTAAGCAAATAGTTCTCAAATTCTGTGGCAATGCGTACTAGATATACCTACTGTTCTCGCATATCTTCATCAGTGCCGATCCGTACTAGATAAACTGTTCACGCATATCTTCAGCGATACTACCAGATTTGGGACTTGTAACTAAATCATTTCTGACTGACTGCAACATTCGAGCTCATTCGAATTTTGGTCTCACATTTTATGAGGAAAATATAGTATAATTTACTCTATATTTGTGTTCCAACACAAAAATAAATTCGTTTGAAGAACGCTAATATGACTTTTACAATATATTTTTTTAATTGAGCAGATTTTTGGTTAGGATGTATTCACGAGCCTTTCCGTCCGTTGTATTGAATGATTATTGTCCCAACGCATCTCACAAGGTACGGCGATGCTCAGTACGTAATGGACTATTCAATATATCGACGAGAGAAAACGGAAATGTCATTACTTGGTATTTTGGGTTAAATAACTTTTTTCACAACATATTCTTGTACATATACATAAAATAAAGCTTCGTATGGTTTGGATCTCGTTTTCCTACGATTAAGTTGTTCGTGTTTTTTGCTTTTCATCAAATTTCATACCAATTTTCAACTTGCTAACTCTATAAGTATAATATGAGTTATGAATTTTTTTAATAGTTTTATGGTTCTGGCGTAAATTTACGTTTTTCTAGTTACGACAATTCCACTTTCTTCCGTCGATATGTTTTTATAGCCGGTGACGCAGTTAGCGCTCCTCGCTACTGGGCCGAGTGTCGTCAGTTTGATTTCCACTACAAATATGCGTATAACGAACAGATTTGAACAGTGTTTGCTAGTTGTGTCCAATATCTATGCAGCTATGTCTCTGGTTTGTATGGCACAGGGATCTCTAGAGCGGGGTCAGGTGAGTGTACGAACTATCACAGATAGTAAATGTCCGTCTGTTCTTCAGACCGGACCGCGCGCCGCTCTGCAGTAGAAACACACAGAGCTAAAGTTGTGAGTTGTAATACTTTATGGCTGTACGAAATAAGACTTGCTTGCATTAATCGAATGAGTATTTCCCACCGCCCAACGATACTTTTTATATTTTCCCGCCCAATATTATATATAATCTATGGATATTATTTGTATATTAAGAGTAGGTAGGTTATAAAATGCAGATATTCCTTATTCCATAATTTTTACATTAATAATAATTTAAAAAAAACAAGTCAAAGTTAATGATTAATTAAATATTCATAAATTAATATCTCGACGAGATCATTCAATTACATAATTACAAAAATATTTACTTTAAGTAGTAATTTAGTTTCTCTTAGTAAATATACAATTTTGAATTTTGGTTTTCAAATTTATTAATAAGATTTGTATAATAGTTTTTTCAAAGTGAGCTGTGCTTTGAATATAATTATTAATAATGGTAGCTAAATACATAATAATCCATAATATTTTATTTTTCAAATTACATACATTCTTTTTTTTTTTTAAATAAATTTTTTTTTTTAAATATTTACGAACAATCACGCCACGTTAACTGGTCCCGTGATAAGTTCGTAAAGAACTTGTGTTACAGGTACCAGATAACGGAAATAAATGTAAGATTTTTATTATACACATACATATATTTAATATACATCCATAACCCTGGAAAAACATTTATATTTGTCATACAAATATCTTCCCTTGGCGGGATTCGAACCCGCGACCCCCTTGTGTAGTGACCATGTCACTTACCACTACACCAGACGGCCGTTACCGTTTGTTGAGAGAAAAATAATAATTTTATAAATAGTTCAACAATTTACTTCACTATTCTATAGAATGACATTTTAAATGTAATTTATACAGTAACAGCGAATAGAGTCGTCCCTCAGCCACCACAGATGCCACATCCGCGATAAAAATAATGTGAGACTATCGCCATAAAATGACACCACAACACGATGCTTTTTTTTGCCAATCTTTAACAGCGACGCGTTTGAGATAACTTCCATAGCGGGTTCATTGTCGTCACTTCACTTATATATATATTTTATTTATTTACCATCACCTAGAAAATCGTAATTTTATCGAGACTTAACGAAAAACTCAGCCAACCAGTTACGTTTTCGACATTAGTTATTATTGATTTAATTTGGATTAGTTTAAAATGGCTGTACATAAAAACAAGTAAGGTCCGTGATAATCGAAAAGTTGATGAATCTCATTGAAATTCTTATTGTTCTACGGAACGTATGAAAATTTAAAGCAATAGCCGCATTGCTGAGCTGTCGATCTTGGGAGCCGTGTCTTCTTCAATTTAGAGTTTTTAATTTTATATTCAGCAATACGATGCCTAAAATTTTTAGCACGAAACGTCAATAAGTCTAGTGCTAGCCAAAAATAATACTGTAAGTTAACCACAGAAGAGTTGTGCGGACCGAATACAGATTATATGTATATATTATATTATATATAATAACTCGTTTCCGGTTGCAATATAATCGATTTTAACGACTAGACTCGGCGGATCTATAAAAAGTCTACAATGCACTATGAATAACATAAATGATTTCATAACGTGACCATTGTGAATGGAACGCATATTTCACAGTTCAAATTCAAATAGACCCTTTAGGGTCATTTTATAGTAAATAATTTCTCTCATATTCGCCTCTTATAAATAGAAATACATTATTGAAAAAGATGATATTTAAAAGAAAAGGAATAAATATCATTGTTCATTTTTATTTATTTAAATATTGAATCCTATCTAATATTGAAATAATTTTTTTCAATTAAATACACAAAATATTATATATATTACTATAATCTAAATGCCCCGTTTGATTATGTACAAAGATAAAATTTGACACTTGGTTGGCGCCAAAATTTGACAGCCTAACCTCACTTAGAATCAAATCTCAAAAATACACCACCAGTACATTTTGCAGTTGGTGATGAATTCGGCTATATCTTCGGTTTCGTCCTTTATAAGTTCACGTCAATCTGGAACTTTGAGTTCGGCCCAGATGGGACAGAAGGGCGACGCGGGCCCGCCCCACGACCAGCCTCGCGGTATTGCCAGATGACACAACCCAGTTTTGACGGCTCCCGAGTGGCCGTTGAAGCCGCTCGTTTCAATGTTGCCAGGACATAAAATAAAACTTTGGCCAAGCGCGTTCGCGTCCACGGTCGTCGGCAAGTCTTCGTCAAGGATCGATTGATACGATTTCAATTCTGAAATAAATTGTTCTTATTATATAATTTCACTAAGCATTTGTAAGCGATAATTGTAAAATTAAATCGGTTTGTTACAAAGATATGCGCGTCCGTTGTGCTACATCCATTTCAAATTGATTATCAGTTTAAAAGATGACTAATTAATTATGAAAATAAAATTATATCTGTTCACGACATAACCAAATCTATCCTGAGAAGGAGGGAGCCTGGAAATCAGTAATACAGGTTTTTGAACTTAGTACAGATTTCAACTATTTCAAAGGCTAACAAAATAAATTATAAGGTTAATATCTATTTTGTACTATACCGTTAAGACAGGGACGTCTTAAACTAGGATGGGGCCCTTGGGCACACAAGAATTTGAGGCCCTTTTGGAAAGGTAAAAAAAGCGAATTATAATGACATTTTTTTACTGAGTATGACCATTTATTATAGGTAATCAAATACAGTATGTCATTAATGATATTAGAATGCTGCTGATTTTTTGGTTACGATTTCGATAACGGTTTCTTTCGGATGTCTGTTGAGCAAAATCTTCTATTATAGGCATAGTATATGCCTTATAAATACCTTCTGATTACTGATTTGTGAAAAAAGTGTAATGTGCCCGACAAAAATGTTTTGAGAATAATAAATGTGTGAGAGAAATTGTCGGTCTTTCGGGGCCCCCTGAGAATGGGGGCCCTGGGCACGGGCCCCGTGTGCCCTTATGGTAAAGACGGTATTACGTTAAGAGCGAAGATATGTCTACTTTAAAACGACTTTCAAATTTCGTCTCTATACGCTACAACGATATTGTTATATTAATTCGATTGGACGGACTAATAACTGAATATTGGGTGGCTTCTACTAATGTAAAACTTTAGCGTATTTTTAAAAATAACTTCTTTAATATTGTGAGCTGTACAAATATTTATCAAGAGCTCTTTAACTAGAACAGAATTAGTGCACTTTAACACGAGTACTTTATTTACAGCAAACACAAAGCCGGTACATATTCCGTAGCGTCGAAATATAATCTTGTGACAACGTCTAATCTTAATAATCCTTACGAAATGTGTCAATGACACATGACCATTGAACGATAGCGTGTATTAAATTACTCACAATTAATCCTATTGTAATTATGATATGACATATTTTTATTTTTTTTTAGTTGGCGACCCATCACTATGTGAAATATGGATACCGGTTTGACCAATTTAAAAGAAATTCAGAAGAGTTTAACATTTAGGGGCACATTTATGAGGCTAATATTGAATGCTTTTTTGCCACGTGGTTTGATACAGAAGTATTTACCAATTTTATTTAATAATTACATACACCCCAGTTCCAAACAATACAATGTTAATTATATGTTTATCCTTACGAAATAATTATAAAGCAAAATGACTAATGTTCTTGTTTATTTTTTAGTAAATCATTTAGTTAATTCTGAATTGTTAATATTGTTTTAGAATTACACATAATTGATTTAAAAAATACTTGGTACACCTTGGATCGTAACTATTAATGAAAAATTCGCAGCGTAAGCAGTTTTAGCGCGCTATTTTGTGATCGGCGAGGGTAGTTTTTGCGTTTGCCGCATTCTATTTTATTTTATTTCATAGATGCGTGGACGAGCTCGCGGTGCACCTGGTGTTAAGTGCCGCCACCCACCTTGAGATATGAGTTCTAAGGTCTCAGTATAGTTACAACGGCTGCCCCGCCCTTCAAACCGAAACGCATTACTGCTTCGCGGCAGAAATAGGCAGGGCGGTGGTACCTACTACCCTACCCGGACTCACAAGACGTCCTACCACTACCTATTAGTCAGTCTAAGTTTATAGCGATGCCAGATGGCACAGCCCGGAGCTCATTCTGGGAGCTTGTAGTTCATCTGTAAACATTAGGTATCTTTTTTTTCTATGGTTCTAGCTAGTTTAACACTAATCATACCAATACTTACTGGTTCATATTTCTAGTCCATAGCGAATAGAAAACGGTACACGACAAGTATTATTATTATATCAAAATAAACAAATAAAAATATAATTGATGTAGATTAATTGGTAAGAAAAATCATGGAGTCAAACGTGAAAAAGCCATAAGATGATATGTGAATTTTCAATGCAAAAATTCAAATTTGGTCATTCGACCCGCTATGATATGTTTAGTGTTAACAATTGCGACCGGCTTCGGTGGGAATAAAAGAAGATAAGGTACCACATTCCTTAGAATTTGATACTCACGGAGAACGTTTTCTTTGTTTCGGAATTCGCCCATGAATACCACGTTCAGTTTTGTGGATTCCGCTAGAACCGCCACGGTCGCCAGCCGGTCGCAGTCTGCGGCGCTGAACCGATCTCTGCACATCACGTTCACGGCTATCAGCGGCCTGCCGCAGAGCAGGAATGCTGGAAAGAAACAACTAGTTTAGAATGAAAAGACTGGGCGGAGATGATGGAAGAAGTCGAGTCTTTACTTAATGTCTCGGAAAGAGGCGGCCAGACGAGGTATGGATCAAGCAGCATTTTGAATTAGAGCATGCATATGGAACTAGATACTTGATGGTTGTCCGGAGGAAATCACTTAAGAGCGATAAGCGCTTAAGAAAGATAAACAAAAGTACAATCGCCTTGACGATAAGACTGCCAATTGTACTTTTTTGTATTTAATGTATCGCATTGTTTATTTATTTTTTTGGTGTACAATAAAGTATACTCTCTCTCTCACTCTCTCCCTCTCCCTCTCACTCTATGCAAACAGCTGGACTATTATTACTTCTCATTGGGTAGTTATTCTAGCATGAGCAAAATGAAAATAAACCGTAATTTCAGAGGAAGTAAGGAATAAGTGCGAAAATATGTACATATAATTTGTCACTAATTGTATTTGGGTTTTTTTTAAAGCAGATGATCGCTTTGCACACTTGATGGTAAGTGGACGCTGTCGGTCGTACACATCAGTAACGTCAGAAACGTAGCCGAGCTTTAAACACGGATTCAGACAAAATCTATACTATTTATTTTGATGAATTTCAAAATTGCATGTTTGGATGTTTCAATAACGCAAAAATGCCTGAACGTATTTCAATGAAACTTCTAACCTGCAATAACTACAAAGATATTTTTTTATGATGTTAAATGACATCGCCCGCGGAACCTTGGCTCTATTAGATCTAGTAAATACGACAATGTTCGTTGGTACATACCAAATAAACATAGCCTCGCAGAACCAGAAGGTGACATTAGCGCCTTTTTAACAGCGGGGAAATAATTATTTTATTTTTTACATACTTAATTAAAAATGTACGCGTGTAAAATCGCGGGGTACGTCTAGTATTAAAACGACACCTAGCGACATTAGATTCCGGTCAACATCCTCGTCGAACCCGTCGCTTGCGACGTAGGGCTCGACGAGCAAATTAGCCCATAAACACAGCCCACTGAGTTTCTCGCCGGATCTTCTCAGTGGGTCGCGTTTCCGATCCGGTGGTAGATTCTACGAAGCGCTGCTCTTGCTAGGGCTAGTGTTAGCAACACTCCGGTTTGAGTCCCGTGAGCTCACCTACATGTTAGGGCGAAGCTGAAATAGCCTCTCAAGGCTATCAGCATAGGTAGGGAAAAAAGCGACATCGGATATGCGCGTCTAAACTACTCTAAACACTCCGAAAACCATCTTCTGGGACAGTCGGGTCGAAAAGTTAAACATAAAAATACAGTTGCACACAATATTCAAACTTCTACTTATATAATATCTTCCCGTTAACATGTGTGTAACTAATCGTTAGAACGTGCCTACTTATCCGTATATCGATCCCGCACATACCGTAATTTACCTAACAATAAATAATTTAATTCGAAACGTTTCATTTTTAATACGTTTTTATTGATTCGTTAGCTGTTCGTTCGTTCGTCTGGAATCTTGTAATTCATTCGAACGAACTCCATGTTAAGTTAGACTTGAAATTCAGTAATCAATATTGGATGAAAGAAAACACGGAGGCAGAAGTTTTAAGCGGTATTTTCCGAGCGCTATGACATGTCCTTCTTCAAACGAGGCTTGCGGAGAGTACTTAACGGTAGGCAGCAGTCTGGCATTGCTGACGTCCATGGGCAACGCTAACCACTCATCCTCAGATGGGCCATATGGTCATCTGCCTACAAGGACAAAAAAACGTTTTCATTATTTACTGTAAAAATGGACGGGGCTTAGGTGTTTTCACTTATTCAATACCATTATATTGCTGTTGTAAATTTATAACAGTATACTTTTTAACGCAGTTGGTTGACGCAGCTCACTGTTCACTTGGTGCCACCATCAGAACTCTGAGATATGAGAACGGATTCTCAATTGAATTCTAAAACTGCTTTCCCTTTAAATCGAAGGACATGATGATTCCCGGCTGAAATGGGACGATATCCCACATACGAGATTATAATACCTTACTTCAGTCCCGGCATAGTCGCATACGAGGACTGAAAACTCATTACCCACCAACTAGGCCAAAATAACCATGTTTCAGGCAAGCGGAAGAAAATTCTTAAAAGAAAGTTTACACAGATTTAATTTTCTGAAACCCCGTGTCTAGATTAAAAGAGATTATGTTACAGATTCGCACATGATATCAGAATGATCTCACGTCCTTACGGATTCATCAGGTCCAATAACTCATGCACTAGACTCCTTCAGCTCTAAGGCTAAGAGCAGGCTTAGGTTTAGGTATTGTTGGAACGCTTGCCTACATTTGCATTTTGTAACGTAAATCTCGAAAGCTCGCTATCGAGTACTACCATCTAATGTAATGATCCGTTTTCGTATCGTAGAACTCGATACATTTACATTACGAATTCGATAGATATTCGTGCTTGACGTGCAGTATATCCCCTGTTAGAGCCCGTGACTTTTGCGTCGAGGGTCGTGGGTTTGATTCCCGCATCGGTCAAACATTCGTGTGATCAACAGCTTTGCTTGCTCTTTGTCTGGGTGTTTTTGTTTATGATTGAAAGATTACTGGTGGCTCGAAAGCCCTTCCAGTTTCACCAGGACAGGTGGGCGAGCAAAGGCTCAGCCAGGAGGGGTGGGATTTGCTAACAACTGCCCGAGCGCCTCCGAAGGAGACCTTACAACTCAAGAGCAATTGCTTCGCGAATGAATCTACTACCGGATCGGAATCGCGACCCGCTGAGAAGATCCGGCGAGAAACTCAGCGGGCTGATGCATGGGTTAGGTTGCACGTCGACCTCTTTGTCGAGTTCGACGAGTACGGTTACCGGGGTTCCTCAGCCAGCTCCTAGTATTAGAGCTGAAGGCGTCTAATGCAAAGGTTATTGGATCTGATGGATCCGTAAGGACGTGTCTAGGGCGTCGACGGTGACTGGCTCCTGCATGATCAGGATTCGGGGAGTAGTCAGCGGCGGCAACGATAAGGCGATTATCATGACGCATAGCCTTATCGAAGTATAGGGTGTTTATTGTTAAACGTTTAAAAGTATCTATGTCAGTCTCTGGTACTCATAAAACATGGAATCCTATTTTGAGGCCGGATAGCCGTGCGTGATTTGTTCTATACGATCATGAATTAAAAATAAAATCGTCAATAAATTCCATTCTTTAATTCAAAAATTTGATTTCGTTGTTCTATTCCGAGATGAGGCTAAGTTTTGCCTGAAGCTGTACAAAGGATTAGGCTGTACAAAGGTTAAAGTGTGGAGACGGACAGGAGAGAGATAATTCAGTGCACATCATTGAAAAATGTGGCATACGGTGAAAATTAAAAAGCACGTCTCTATTCTGCGGCCATGCTAAGGGATAAAAGACTTTTTACTTTCGCTAATTGGAGAATTTTTGAATACTCATCGCATAAAGAATGAAACGCAGTGGGAACGTAGAGGAGTATGAAATTTCACATACTTATCGAGAATATAGAGAAGGAAGAATATTTTTTTAATTATGCCTAAAAAATACGTTAAATCCGTAAAAAAAACATTACACACACAACCATGTATTTGACAACACAGATTTTTAAACTCTTTGTTAATTTTCAAACCTTTGTTATTGTTTAAAATCTCTAGTCAAATTGAGAATAGATTAACATTGTTTGTCTTTAATTAATGATTGGATTGGTCACACTTTGAGAAAGCCCGATACCCACCTATCAAAGAGAGCACTGACCTGGAAAATGTCTGGTAAAAGGAAGAGAGGCCGCCCCAGAACAACTTGGCGTCGCTCGGTGGAGCAGGAGCTAGGGGTCTTGGGCATGACGTGGAAAGAGCTAGAACAGACTGCCCAAGACCGATATAAATGGAAAAATTTGATTCGAGCCCTACACCCCAGCAGAGGGTAATAGGAAAGCATGATGATGATGATGATCGTATTCGTTTGCTTAAAGAAACTAACTTTTGCGTAATAGCCTCTTCGCCTTTACCGGGAACCTCTCGAGATCGCGGTGACGACGCGCAATGCGTTAGGGTTGTACATTTACGAAATAAACAACTAAACCTTGAAGATTTTGGACTTCAATTATTTATTTTTATTCATTTACGTTTGCAAGTTTTTTTTTTATAAAATAATTTACCTTTTTGTTATATACTTTTCGTGTGTTGATTATTTTATTCTAAGCAATATCGTTGACAATCCGATGAATTATTAAGAATCAGATGAATTATTTTATTTCATAGTCGACGGCTAGGGAAACGAAACGCCTAGTAGAGGAAAATCATATACCTAATATTTTATATTACACACGCAGTAGATACTTTTCTGTTGATTTATTATGAATAATAAATGAATCTATATATATATGTATATATATATATATATAATTGCAGTTCGTTAGTCTCGCTAAAACTCGAGAACAGCTGGACCAATTTGACTAATTTTGGTTTTAAATTATTTGTGGAAGTCCAGACAAGGTTTAAAAGGGAGAAAAATATGAAAATGCTCGTTTGTTTTTCCTTTGATGTGTTCCCCATCGGACGGATTCCTTTTGTTTGTTTTAAGTTTATTTTATACAAAAGTTTAGGTATTTTATTTATCGATTGAGACACTACGAAGTCTGCCGGGTCAGCTAGTTATGAATAAAAACAACATTGTCGAGATTACTTAAAATTTAAAATGCTTAAAAATGTTAACTAATGAGTTTATTAGTCAATTAATAATAATGATTATGTTATAGTATATACTACATAATGATTATTATTGTTTATTCACTAATAATGTTTGTTTCTATATTTCTTACGCGTTTATTTTAACATTCATATTTGAAGTGTGGGGATTATTTTAAATCCAGGGATTATACTTAGAGCTTTAACTACCCACATCGCGCTCACTAACAACGCAGGCTCAGCTTTACGTGGGCTGCGTAAACAAATGTGCTAATTATCTATTTTTCATTAGTGTAAGATTTTTTTAT